TCTCAGATTTTTTCCTATCCTCAACATATAAAAAAGTTCAGATTATTTATTTATTTTAAATTAATTTATTTATTTTATTATTTTATTTTTTTAAAGATTTTATTTATTTATTTTTTAGAGAGGGAAGGGAGGGAGAAAGAGAGAGAGAGAGAGAGAGAAAGACATCAATGTGCAGTTGCTGGGGGCCATGGCCTGCAACCCAGGCATATGCCCTGACTGGGAATCGAACCTGCGACACTTTGGTTCACAGCCCGAGCTCAATCCACTGAGCTACACCAGTCAGGGTTATTTTATTATTTTATTTTTTAAAAATACTTTTATTTTAGTTGTTGCAGTACAATTTTCTTTTACTCCCATCCCAACCCACCCACCGAGCCCTCCCCTCCTCCCTCCCATTTCCACCCACCCCTAGTTTTTATCCATGTGCCCTTTATACTTCTTCCTATAAACCCTTCATGTAAATAACAGTATATTTTCAAGAAAGCTATCCCAAACATTCAATTATAAAGTTTAAAATGTAAATACTCTGTAAACATTCATCATGGATTCAGGATTTAAAATCTAAGAACTATCATAAAAATGATCTTAATGTACTTACTTGTGGAAAATAACATTCATTTTTATATTTAGAGGAAGCCAATATTACTTGGCACTTGCTAGCTACAAAGGGGACAATTTTTAAAAACTAAAGCCCATTAAATGTTTAAATTTAAGTACAGATCATCTTCCTAAAAAAGTTTTTTATGAGCCCTGGCTGGCATAGCTCAGTGGATTGAGCACGGGCTGAGAACCAAAGTGTCGCAGGTTCGATTCCCAGTCAGGGCACATGCCTGGGTTACAGGCCATGGCCCCAGCAACTGCACATTGATGTTTCTCTCTCTCTCTGTCTTTCTCCCTCCCTTCCCTCTCTAAAAATAAATAAATACAATCTTTAAAAAAATTAATTTTTTATAAATAAACAATGGTTTATTGTAGTAAATGGTTGATTAAAGGAATGAATAAATAAATAGATACAGCTAGAGCCAAAATATGAGGGTAAAATACTAATAAGTACTCAGTTTCTCCTTGCTATCAAATGTCAGTGGGAAAAATAGGCCCATTATATTAGTATATGGGCAGTTGAGAAATTTTTACCTCTAAGTCAAAGGCCATTCATTTACTTGTGAAATAAAAGTAATCCATGGTCACAAGAAAATAAATTCCATTTAAGAAAAAGAAATATAGAAAATATAAAAGCCATTTTAAAAATATTAAGAGCAGATAGCATTTTATCATGATAAATTCAGAAAATAAGCTTAAAATTTTTTTGGAAAGTGCTGTGGAGTGAAGGATGTGTTAAAACATAATTTTAAGTGTAGGACTGAGGAGAAAAGAGAATAAAATAAGAATAGAAAATTGTGAAGGTGAAAAAAAGGAGATAAGAAAGTAGAAATATAAAGTGGCATGACAAGAAAGGAATGGGGTGGGGAGAAAAGAAAAGGAGAGAAAAGACTAAAAACATAGGGAAAAAAGAAAAAAATATTATATATACAAACTAAAGAGCAAATAAAAAATATAAAAGGAGTAGAGGAAACAATAGTAATGTGATACAAAGCACTTTTGAAATGTTAAAGTAAAATTTTACATATTTATACCTTGTCTAAAGTCACTGAGCATTTCATTGAAGTGTTTTTTTGTCATTGTAAAAATAATATATGTCTACTGTAGAGCACTGGGAGAGCACTCAAGAAGAAAAGAAAAAAATCACCTGGATTGCTGCCAGGTAGATGGAAGAATTATATCTATCATTTGCAAATATTTTCTTCCTGTCATTTTCTATTCATTTCCAAATAGTTTTGTTCAAGTGGCATAAACATTTTGACTCTTTAATTACTTAGAAATATAGCTGAAACATTTTTGAAGAAATGACTTTAGTAAATCTATTTTTATTTTGTATTATTTTTTAATTTTTCAATTACAGTTCACATTCAATATTATATAATTTCAGGTGTACAGCATAGTGGTTAGACACATAATTTAATAAGTGATCTCCCCATGAATTCTAGTACCTGCTGGCACCATTCATAGCTATTACAATACGATTGTTTACAATTCCCAGGGGGCACATCAGTTTGTACTCCATCCCTTCATCTTTTTCACCCAGCCTCCCAATACCCTTCCCAACACATTCGTATCTTTAATCCTAGTGGGAAGCTAATGGCAACTTTGATAGGAAAATTTGATGACAATTTAATAAAGGACTATTTACAACTATATGGACAATATGCGGGGGATCACAAAAAATAGCGCAATAACCCAGGGTTTGTATGACAGTAGCTAGGCCTATAGGCCAAAGGGAGAGAGCAGCTACTTGGAGATGTTTGTGTGAAAGTTCAACCGTGTCCTTAAGCCAGGACCTGTAGCAACCTGGATGACTGCACAGGGATAAGGCCAGGGGTTTAGCTACTGCAAAATGACTTTCACTTGTCTCCAGCCACCTACACGATTTACTTCAGACAAATCCAAGTGACAGCCAAATGACAACAGAACCTAAGTCATCCATACACACTACATCTGGGGCAGAGACCGAGGCAGAGAAAATTAGAGTTAAGACTGGTTCTGGAAGGACAAATGAAAAATATCCAGCAGAATATTTATATTCCATTAAAGTTTATTTACAAATTACCCTTTTTTAAAGTTATATTATGCTTTTTCACTATTATCAATAACTCTATTATAATTTTCTCTAGAATTGTTTCCTCAGTATAAACTATTACAAGGAAAAACACTAAATAAATAAATATACAACATTTAAGGCTTATTACTTATTCAAAATGTTTGATATAATTTATATTTCTACCATGAAGTTAAGAGATTCTCATTATATCCTCATTAGCAATACAAATTTTGATGTCGTTAATTTGTTAGAAAAAATTACATGGCAGTATTTTACTTTGTATTTCTTCAGGAACTAGAGGGTTATAGGTTTGCCATGTTTATTAAATAATTTCATTTTTTTTCAATTTTATTTTCATGCCTTGTTCTACTTCATGTGGCCTCAAAATGAGTTGTGACTGCCTGAGTAGTGTATCAATATTTAATGAAAGATCCACTGGCCCAAAGGTTTAGTTGCAATTAAATGTATATTTCTTCTTAATAGTTGCCTATTGGAAGGAAATACAGGCACACAACCATTGTTCACAGCCCCCTTTTATTTTTCTTGACCCTACAAAGATCAGAATTTGCTTATAAATGGGGAAATCAGAAAGATTTCCTTTAGACAAAAATGTTTTGTGACTTGCAGTAAAATATCTTAGAAAACAATACTGTCTTGTGAACATAGAATAATATTTATTAACATTTTTAATGATTTTTAAATAGTAAGTTTTACAAAATATACGATGTACACAAATAGCTGCCTTTTATTGAGTGCATCTTATGTTACAAATACATCTCATCTCAGATCCCACAAAGATATGTGATGAACTCATTATATACAATGATTTTGCTATCTATACAATTCAACCTACTTTCTATTTTATCAAATATACCATTTTTGTTATCATTATTGCTGCTGTTAGTGTTAATATTGAATAGATTTAACTTGTTTACCATAACCTTTTAAAGATTTGTACTAATAAGTAGAAACTGAAGGTGTGCTAAAATTTTCACAACCATATAAAGCTCAATTAAAAATCTAGAAATTTTGATTTTTTCTGGAATAGGCAAGAAGTCTTCACATGGTGGTATGTGAAGAGTATAAAAGGTCTCCCTCTATACTTTAAAATTGACCTTTATAATTCAACATTGCACTTTTATACCTGCATTTCTTTTAAGTCTAGGCATCTCAGTAAAACTCCTACCTAAATATAAGCATGTAATGTGAGAGACAAAAACACAACAGAATCAGGTGCCATCAATGCAGTACTGATTACAAAGCCTGTTCTGGAACCAGACTGTCATCTGATTCCTGGCTCTGTCACCTGTTAGTATGACTCTAGCTAAGTTATTTAAATTTTCAGACTGTGTCTCCTCATCTATAAAATAGGTTAATAAATGAACAATCTCAGGGTGTGTTCTGAGGATTAAATAAGTTAATAAATATAAGCCTGACTTATTATGTTATAGTATCCTACAGTAAATCATTAGAACATAAGAATATTAATTAAATAATTTTTTAATTGTAAGAAGGAAAAGAAACATGGAAAAAAAAGTAAGAAGAAAGGGTGGCAGGAAGCAGCCTAGCTATTCACTGTTAAAATTAACTTAGCCATGTATTTAATCACTCTACAATAAGTTCTTAAAAATATTGACCATATCTTGCCAGCAATGTACATCTACTCTATGTCATATTGCTTGATAAAGTAAGTGCTCAATCAGTAGATGAAGGACAGTTGAATAAATATTTTAAAAAAACTAAATGTATATATATGTAAATAGAAAGTCCTGAATATCTGGAAAAGACAGGGTGTGTGTGTATGAGTGTGTGTGTATAAGAAGTGGATATATATATACATATATATGTGTGTATATATATATATATTATTTATATAACCCTAACCCTAACCCTAACATTATATATATATATATATATATATATATATATATATATATATATATAATGATCTGTATAATGTTCCCAGAAGTACACAAAATGTGTTGCTCTAGAGGAATAATTTATATGAGGCCCATGAAAGAATAATCCAAGGGCACAAAGGGATTAGTCAACTGAAATATACCTAAATGAGCCTCATCAATTGCTCCTCATTTAATACAGACACAGTAGACATGTTATTTTAGACATATAAGATCCAACTCCAGCTGTAACATGACTAAAATCACTTGCTTTACTGTTTCTCTTACATACACAAGGTCAAGTTGATGGTGCCTACACAGTTTTCCTTGTGCTGGGGACTCATTTAAAGAAGGTTCTAAAGAGTATGACACACAGAATAGATAATAAAACACTTAAGACCAATACTAATCGTGATTCTTCTGCATTGCTGTGTTCATGTACTTACTTGCTGGGTTGTCCGTGGTATGTAGGCTGACCACTGGGACTCCTGGACCTGGATTTTAAAAATATATGTATAAACATTTTAAAGAAATCTAATAATAATCACTGTAAAGGTTACATGATAGAGTTCTCTTTTTTCTCAAATGGAAGCATTTCATAGTTAAAGCATAATGAAACAGAAACCAGACCACTAGATTATATTCCCTTCTATGGATATTTTATTCAGAAAAATAAGAATATATGGGGAATGAAACCATTTGCACAGAAGGATGTTAAGATCCCTTTTTCCAAAATCCTATGTTTCTATAAGTCTATGGTTTTAGCTAATATGGTACAACTTTTTCTTTCTCTAGTCTTTTATAGAACAGTCATGGATATTCAGAAAATGATTCATGACTCTGTGCCCCTGCCCTTATCTGCACAAGCAAGATTAAATTATATTTACCACTCAGCCAAGAAAAAAATGCATGTATATTAGAATTGTTTCATTAACAAGAGAGCTAACAATGAGGGCTAATTGTATTTTAATTTTAAAAATATGTTACTGAAATCACTAATTATTTAAAATATACTAGTTAATTCAGGTGTAGTAACCATAAGAAACTTCACTTCTCTAGGGAGCTCTATATAGAAGTCTAATTATTTTCCCCTGGTGTCATCAAACAAGTACTTTCCTTTTTTGATTACTTCATTTCAGATGACAAGAGGAAAAATAATTTCAATGAGTAAGTATTGGTTTATTCTTCATGGTTTGTTAACACAGGATGTACCAGCTGAAGTTGTAGCACTCAATTTATCACATTATAGGAGGACATATATCTTATTTCAACTCTGGGAAATACAGTATCTTATTAAAGGGACAATGGTTTCTATCACTGTAACCTAGAGATACCATACCCCTGTGTATGACTATACTGTTTACAGAGAGAAGAAATAACTGGAGTGAGTGCAATTTGTCTAAATTGAATGGGACTAGACCCAGAAAATTAAATTTCTGTATATCCTATCTTTTAGCAACCTATTAATAATAATATCCTATTATTTTAGCAATAATAGTCATTATTTTAATGACTATTGCTTTTCTGAAATATAGCTAAATTAGTTTATTATTGTAGCGTGACTTTGCTGATATAAATATATTTATTCACTTTTTAAAAGGTCCATATTCAAATAGCCCTTGTTGACTCCTGTGTACTTACTCCCAATGCCTACTTCTAAATGAAGTATATAAATATAACTTGTACCCTAGTAAATACATCACTTATAACTTTTAACAAAAATTTATAACTTAAAATATTAAATCATGTAGCTAGAGAGTAACAGTTACTAATGATAGTAATAGATGTTGATCAGAAAAAACAGTAAAACAAACTTCATTAGAAATCATCTATTACCTTTACAGAATAATAAGAAATGTTGATTCATGGGACTAAAACTGGCACCAAAATATGTACATCGTTCTTTCATAAAATTACATGAAATGCACTGACGATTCAGTAATCCTTCAGTAGAAGCACTGGGAAAAGAAAGAAAGTTAGAAATACTACCATTCCAGGTATTTGAATATAAGTCATGTAAATTTAAGTGTGAACATTAACAGAAAAACTACAGCATTACTTACATGGAGTGTTCTTATAAATCATGACTTACCATAAAAATGCAAAATCAACTTATATTTCTAATGTTAAGACATACATAGTTTCCTTCTATCTAATGGAATTAAAATTATGTATGTATACCTCTATGTATGTAAATGTATATATACTTATAAATAGATTGATTTCCACAGAACTCAATAAAGCTTATTTTTAACTGCATTTTCTGTATAGATATTTCTTTGTAAAATATTGAAAGGACTTGCCCACAGAGACTAGCATAAAGTCCTCATCAATACATATTAATTGAAAGAGTAATAAATGTTTTCACAAGTCACACACACAGAAAACAAACATATTATTTAGTCAACTCAACATTCTAAGCATTAGAATTTGATATTAATGTTGAATATTTCCCACTAAACATTTGCACTGATATGATAATGTACATAATGTTAGCAATCATACTTATTTGAGACATCAGGGAGGTAAAAAAGAAAACAATCATCTCTTTAGTTACAAAAATAGTGGTGCTTAAGGTCAGAGAAGTTGAAATATATCCCCAAAGTTAAGTTTCATAACTAGATTCATTTATTTTTTTAAAAAAGGGTGTCATAAATTATCTATGTTGATAGATAAAAAAACTACTAATAATACATTTAATAACTTGATTTGACAAAAGATTCTCACTTTTGCTTTTAAATAAAACACGATTTGGTCTGTATATTCGGAAATGACTCATGGTCATGCTGATTTTGATGAGCTGCAGGCACAGACGTGGGGATAGGGGTTTTGATTTCAGCATCAGAAGCACCAGAAATAATAAAGTATGATTTAAAAGTTACAATTTCATATTTGGAACATCCTGAGTTCAATTTTTTTTTTACTAGTAAATGTGATTAATATACACTAGTCACTGAAGCCCATTAGCCAAACTAGCTAATGTTTGGCTGATGGACTTAAGTGTCTGGTTTATATGTATATGTATTAGTGTCTAGTGTATATATACACACACACACAAAACATTTGACATTTTAGCCATTCCAGGTATACAGTCCAATATCACTCATTATGTTCACAATATGTGCAACCATCACCACAGGAAAATTAAGAATACATACTAATTACATGATAATATTTAGTGACATAACTAGAATTTAAAACATTTACTCTCTTTACTCCATATAACTTTTCATATCCAACCTCCCTAGAAGTTAATGTTGGTAATTTATCATAATTTAGACTATGAAATTGCTGAAATAATAATGCAAATTTTGAAGCAAAAGTGTAACATTGAATATGGGAACAGTTCTGATTCTGCAGGGGTATCTAAATTGTAAGCCAATGATTATTTTTATGGCCTTGAGAAGACATTGATTGGGTCTTCTGGATTAAACACTAACATTACCTTACAGTCAAGCCAACTGGCATTTGATGAGCTATTTAAAGAGAAATTTATTGGTACTATGTTAACTTTATAGCACAGACTGTTATGCTAGCACCAGTCACAGAATAATTGACTCTTCTGCTGCATTCACTAAGGAAAAAGTCAAGTACACAAATCTAAGAAGTCATTGGGATTCAAATCACATTTCAGGCTAATAGAGGGAAGAGAAATTGGGGAGTGCCATTGACTCAACCTGGCCAAGTCTAATCTTCAGACACTAATTTCCCTTTAAGAATTTTATAAAAACAAGAGAAGTAAAATTTTGGTCAAGTATTTCCACATCTTAAAATGTCATGACTGCCATTATCAATCATAGTATAAGTTTCAAGGAAGATAAGCTTCAGGTATCAAAAAAAAGAAACCCCAACAAAACAGTGGCAAATACTTTAATGAAGACCTCTAAACCAAAGTTAGAATCAGTCTTTAAATAAAAAGGTGTTCTTCTTTTGGAAGTCATTAATTAGGATAGAGAATGTGGGTTCCAGACTCTCAGAGAAAAGACAAAGAATATGAAAATGACATATTGGAAGGGGTGATTAAAAGGAGAGGCTTCAGATAAAAGCAACTTATGTATAAATATAAATATAAATCTATGGATGAATTGGAGGGAGTTAGGGCACTTTAAACACACATTTTTACTCTCAAAAGAAAGTCTAGGCTACTTGGTAAGACTCAGTGGTGATACTCCTTCAAACAAGATAAATTTCCAGTGAGGATATCCCATGGCAGTTTTGACACTTTAAAATTGGGAAATGGAAATTAAACATGTATTTAAAGTCCAGAATTAATAAATTGCTTGCCAGATGAAAACAAAAGTCGTTCTTGTGAAGTTCTATTGAAACCGAGTGAGGACACATTTTAATACTAAATAGGATTGACCTTAAGCCTCTTTCATGAATTTAACTTTCCACCTGGGAAAATTGGACAGATGAAAATGTTCCCCATCCACTGCTTTATTTAAACAAACAAGCATTACTGGCTCTAATAACAAACTTAATGGATTTTAAACACTATGGAGGAGGGTGGAAAGAGATACTTCCACTTGATCCAGTCTACTAAGCATTCACAATGCTTTTATTTTTTCAGAAATAAGCTGCATGTGTACAATATTACTGCCCTGAAAATTCAAAATGAGGCTTAGCAGAAGAAAAGGCCACTGGGGAAAATATGTGAATGCATATGATCTAGGTAGTTAAGAAAACCAAGCCTCATTGTGGAAGGAAAAGAAAAACTCCAAAAGTTCCTCTGTAACTGTAACACTTGCAAAATTTCACACAGGAGCCGACCAGTTGTCACCAAGGCAATGGCTGGTTATCTCAAGGCCACTGATCTTGCTCCTGCGTCTGAATGCTTGCTTTCAGCAGCTGGTTCCCCCTCCCTTTCTGCCTGTGTAACTGGTATATAAAAAGGACTCCTAACCCAGCTTTTTTGGCTCAGAATTTGGAATTCCCCTCTGAGCCCCCCAGGTAATAAAGTTTGTGCTTCATCATCTTCCCCGCATGTGAGTGACTTTTCCACAATATCATAAAAATGTTTTGAGATTATAAATATAGGTGAAAAAAAAAGAGCAGCAAGATGGTCTTAATTCTGGTTCAAACCTTTGAGGATCACAAAGGTTTGAGCTAAGGGACTGGACCAAGAGTGTGAGGTTCTGCCATACAAGGCTGGCTCTTCCCTAGCTATGTCAAAAACAACTTCAGATTTTCCCACCCCATTATTAAGCTGTGTAGATGTCCATTGAGAAATCACCCTGTGCAGAGAGATATGTGCATGGCTTACCTGTATAACTGCCTCCCTCTGGGAGAAGACTCAGTGCTCAGAAAGTAACTGCCCGGGAAAGAAAACAACAGAAACCAAATGCAATATGTAAGCATTGGCTGGGTTCAGCATTTTAAAAATATACTGTAAAGCATTGTGAAAACAACACAAATACATTTTTGCTACACTCTTTTTATTTGAATTTTTATAGTGTAGGATCAAGGGTAGGAAGTGGTGATGGCTGGGGTGGGGGGGAGTGGTGGAGGAAAATGGAGACAACTGTTCTTGAACAACAATAAAAAGAATTTTACAAAAAAATATAGAAAAGTTTTTCTATTATTTAATCACAGCACTTTGATCCTTTTAGGAAACATTTATCTTAAAATATTATTTTTATAATATTTTATAATAGTTATAATAGTTATAATATTATACTTTATAATAGCTATAATATTATACTTTTTATTATCTCAATCTCTCTGAGTGTGTGTGTGTGCATGTGTGTGCATGTGTCTGTGTAAGTGTGTCTCTGGGTGAAGGATAGAGTCTTTAAAGTAAATGCTATTAGGTGGCCATGTTGTTTGGACTAGGACCATGGTAAGCAAAACATAAACCTGACAGAAAATATTGCAGCTGACAACCTGACTTCCCACCTGACCTTAGAACCAAAAATGCTCACATTTTTTGTGTAGTCTCATCATATGCCAAGATCTTTATCACTTCCCAGTTTCCTGATGTTAAGTGGCGTACGGTAATTTGATCATTTTTACTCTGCAAAGAAATAGAAAATATTAATTTTAAAAAATTTAAACAGCATCTCTCTGGTCAAAACAAATGTAGTAACTGCTTATGTCACTTTTAATTCTTTAATTCTCAACTAATGTTCAGTTTCTTATTTTCCATCTCAGTGATGCATGCACATTTATATAAACATAGATTCAGGGAAGGAAGACAGTGCCTTTATTGATATGCTGTTGGAAAACCATTCAGAAGTTACCTCTAGGTAAGGATCTCCTGTGCATCATCTGGTCAGGGATGTTATCTTGGCATTTGGTGCAGACATAGAACTTTGGTAAGTCTCATCTAAATGATTCGCAGCTGTGCAGTTTTGACAGACTTAAAACATTTCAGAACAAACTTTATTCCAAATAAATATTAAAGATTATTTACTTTCAAACTTTATACCATGTGCATCACTATAATATTAGTTATTTTCAATGAATAATTTGTTTGAGGTTAATCTATGTCGATGCATGAGGCCATAGTTTTATTGTTATATGGTATTTTGTTATATAAATATGTCATTACTTATCTTCTTCTTGACATTTGAGTGTTTCCAAATTTTTGCTTTTTAAAAAAGTCTATGAACAGTTTTACTAATGTCTCTTGATGGCCATGGCAGGGTTTTCTTGAGACAAACAACAAAAAGTGGGGGATTGCTTAGTTAGAGTGTATACATGTCTTCCACTTAACTAGATGGTGACAAAATGCTTTCCCAAGTTAAATATAGTCTAATAGCAATATGAATTTCTATTGCTCTACATCTTTCTCACTTCCTCATCAATAGTTAATTTCATCAGGCTATTTAAATTTTTGTCAAACTAATGAGTATGAAATTGTATCTCTTTTGTTTGCTTTTTGTTGATAAAATAATCAAGCCTATAAAAAGGCTGAATGATTAATACACTAGTACTCATACAATCCTTACCTAGATTCACCAAAAGATATCCAACATTTTGAATATCTGCCCTCCCTTCTTTTATTGTTTACTGGATCATTTGGAAATAAGCAATAAGTATCAGGCTATTTCAGCACTAAATACTTTAATATACATATCTTAAGGTTAAAAACTGTTTATCATATAAACAAATTGAATATCATACCTGTGAATATTAATATTAATATCATCTAAATATATGGTCTATACTCTAATTTCCATAACTTCTCATATAGTATATTTTTAAAATGCTGAACCCAATCAATGTTTACATATTGCATTTGGCATATCATCTATTTATTATTTTTTTAAGATTTTATTTATTTATTTTTAGACAGAGTGGAAGGGAAGGAGAAAGAGAGGGAGCAAAACATCAATGTGTGGTTGTCTCTAGTTCATCCCCTACCAGGGACCTGGCTTGCAACCCAGGCATGTGTCCTGACAGGGAATCAAACCGGCGACCGTATGGTTCACAGGCTGGTTCTCAACCCACTGAGCCACGTCATCCAGGGTCTTTATTATCTTTTTAAGTAAAACAATTATCCATCTTTTTTATTTCTACATTGACCATTTGTAAGCTTCTTCATCTTACAGAACAGTAATTTTCAATTGGTGTTCCATAAGAATTTTTAAAACATACAATATCTGATTATTTACTCAGGGGCACTTAACTCTTTTTCCTCAGATTGTCAAATTAAAAAATTACAACCGCCAACACTACAATAGCCATCTGATGTGAATGAATCAAAATTATACTTATTTTTTAGCCATAGAGATATAAAGTACAGTAGAGGAAATGGGGTAGCCAAAGAACTTAGACTCATGACCCACAGACATGAACAATGATGGGAGCATTGCCTGAGGGAGTAGGGGGTACTAGATGGAGGGAAGCAAAAGTAGAAAAATCAGAGTAATTATAATAGTATCATCAATAAAATATAATTTTTTAAAATTTATATTACTAGTAAAGATTTAGGAAAAAAGCTGAGGACATACACTCAAGGAAAATTAATATAAATGGATGTTATTTGGGAAAAAAAAGTATGTACTCATGAATAAATCACTTCGATAGCTCTGAAAAAAATTATACACATTTTTGTCAGGTCAACAAAAAATAAATATTTTTGGTGTGCTGAAGACTTTTAGTAATTATCTTATGTGTGTCATGAGATGAAAAAGGTTGAAAATTGATGTTATAGAATATTTAGCATTTTGGATTTATCTGATTGTTTTCTAATTATTTAATTTAGGCCAAACTTTTTAGGGAAGTGTATTATATAGGTGATTGAATACCTCTGCTTCATGTAAGGACACAAACACAATTACATACCTTCACACTCATGACAATATTATTTATATAACTGTGAGATACATTCATTGTGAAAGTACACTTCGCTTTATAATTGAAAGCAGAATAATACTTGCAAATTATGTAAACATCTTGTTCTCCATAAACTTTTCATTCAGTAGCTATGGGTCATTCATTTATGACCTTTACATGAATAATTATTATTTCAAAAAGTGATTTTTGGATTCTAGTACTGCTTCTATACTTATTAAGTAGCACTCTTCAATAAAAGGAACATCTATTTTTTACTCTCACATATGTTAACTCTCTTTCCCTTCTCCTTATATTATTACAGACTTAAACATTTTAAATATTATTTTCCATTACTGTTCTTATTCTTTAAAATAATGAAATTTTTAAAAATTGGTTAGTGGAAATTCTTTCAATTCAATGCCTCTATTCTTTGAACTTGATTATATTAGTCTTTGAGCATGTCTTTCTTTCTTCACATTAAGATGTTGTAAGAACATTTTACTTCCTATGTACCATGCCTGTAATCAGTCATTTATACAAGGAGTTTTCTTCTATTGGATTATGGTATTTAGGTATCAAAGTTTGGGGTTAGGTATGTCCATTGTTTAAAACATTATTAATTCTGGGCATTTTCAGAGGCTAAAATATATAGATGGTGATAGATAAATAGGTAGATAGATAGATTTTCATGCTTTCTTTCTATATGTATATGTTGTATATATTTGGGTTCTAATAATATCTTCAATTAAAATTCATATCAGTGTACTTTAAATTTTGGTATTGAGGGAGCTTGATTCACATTCTCCCTCACACATATAAAAATTTTTATCTTTCTTCTTGACCAGGGAAACTCTATAAATAAAGATTAACATTTTATTACTATAAATATAAGTGTAAACCTAACACACATATAAATTAGAGATAATGCAGGGCATGCTGTATATTCCTTATAGATTTTTTCTCTTTTTATTATTATGAAGTTCTTCATTGTGTAGGTATACCACAATTAATTCAACTAGCCTCCAGTGAGGCACATTTCAAATAATGCTGTAGTGATTAACCCTGTAAATATGTTTGGTTGTTGCTTAATGTACAGGGAAATATCTTCAGGATATCCGAGGTCTGTCCAGAAGGTATCTAGCCATGTAATATGAAAAACAGAGACAGTTAGTGAAGAAGATACAAGAAACATTGTGCATAGGACAATGATGTCTCAGTTCCCGTTTAAAGTAGGGACTTTGAGACCTCATATAGTTCTCCCAACTGCCATCAGCTGCCCTGTCGTATTTTTCTGAATCTCGCTGATGGTCTGAAATTTCTTCCCTTTCAAAGGTGATTTTAATTTTGGGAGAAGTCAGAAGTCACAGGTCCCAAATCCATGCTGTAAGGGGGCTGAGTCACGTGGGTGATTTGATGTTTTGCCAAAAAACTGCCCAAAACATGGTACATGTGTGGTGCATTGTCATGATAAAGCTGCCAATCACCACTTGCCTATAGTTGTGGCCTTCTGAATTATCTGAATAATTTCCACAGAAAAATGTTCAAGATTAACACTAAATCTGATACAGATTTGTTGCTCTACTCACTCAGTCATTTTGAATGCTATAGCTACACAGTTCACATGTTCACTCAACAGTGTTTACGGCCCCACTGACTAGTACAGTGACGTCATCATTGTTCACACATGCACATTCTAGTTGTCTCTCCTTGGCTGCCAGGTTACCTCAATGTCTTGCAAACTGTTCTCATTATATTAATAATGGCTGGACTTTTTCCAGATAGACCTCATCATATTCTTCCATAAGGGAAGTATTTTTCACATCTACTGGCAATATATGTGATACCTGTTTTCCTATGGACATGTTACAGATATGTTCTTCAGGGTTTGAATTGTTACCAATGTGATAGGTCATAAATGGTGCTGTGGTAAACACTATGCCAACAAGAACTCTCTTCTGAAAGGAAGGACCTACTCCCTTAGTGGCCAGCAGTGCTTCTGGAAGAAGGCCCTCTGCTGACAGTCTTCTTTGGGAATTGCCTAAACTGAATAAAATAGCCTCACCCAAGTTCATTCCCCTTTTGAAGGGCAGCTCCAATCCCAAGGCAGCCTGATCAATATTGGAGCACAGAAACCCAACATTCTTGCCCTAACTTGGAACCTCTCTGAAGAGCCATGCCAGTCCAGAACTCTGAATGGTCAGCTGAGACCTTCATTCAGTTGACACTGCAGCTCCAACTCTTCTGCCCAATCTTGCTTCTTTCTCCTCTTTTCTAAAGTTACTAAACTTCTCTGTAATAATTGCCCTGCAATCTTCATTTCACAGTTGGCTTCCAGTGAAACTCAACTTGAAAAAGGTATGTTGGTATAATTTCACTAAAAAATTTGAGCATCTTTGTATATATATATTATAACATAGATGTAATATTCCATTCACATGTGTCTAACTCTTAATGTTTATCTATGCTATCAAATTTTTTTAGTGTTTAGGATTTTTAATTTTAAAAAATATTTTTGATTGTTGTTCAGTTACAGTTGTCCTGTCGTTTTCCTCATTGCCCTCCCCTGCCCTATTCCCTACTCCCACAGTCATCCTCTCCCATTGTCCATGCTTATGAGTCCTCTATTCATGTTCCTTGCCTTGCTCCTTCCACTTCTTTAATTTTTAACAGCTCATTATGTCTCTCTATCATTTCATGTGAAATATAAGCTGAAAACTGTCTTTGTTTATCATT